TGGTTTAGAATATTATATAGGTCTACAGAATATACTATATAAAATATATTTATTTTCAAATTTCATATGTGTTATACTCTATAGAGGTTTTATATGTTCTTATAGAGATAGGCCTAATCCCTATAAATTTTTTATAGTACGTTAAAAAAATACAGGTAAAGGCCTATAATTTTTTATAGAATAAATATAGAAATTATATAGTTAGTTTTATTATAGAGAACTTGTCATATCGTTTGTTTAGAATATTCTATAGAATTTCTGAATATGCAAGATTTAAACATGTTGATAGGACTATACTGGTCAGACACGAATGTGTCAATAAATGAAATTGAATAGAATGAAACAAAAAAAAGTTAAGATCATAGAAATTAATTTAAATATGTGTATATAGAATGTTATAGAATTCTATAGAAACTAGTTCCTCTATAAAACAATTTTATAGAATATAATTTCTATAGAAATCGATTAATCTCTATAGAAGGTCTATATAGTTCTATAGATTTTTTTCTGTAAGGGTACTTTCTAAGCCTTTGAAACCTCTAAATTGTCATATTTTTGGGAGATTTTACCTGCTTTCCTATTCTGCTGAAATAATTTAAAAAAAAAATTATATTATGAAAGTCCTGGCAGTATAATTAACATTACATAGCCAAGGTCTAGGCCTATACTAAATCATGGCGTATAATAAAACATACAACTTTAAAACACAAGTTTAACAAGCTAACAATAACAGGTGTTGTCATTTAATCTGTTCAGCCAACCACAGATAATCTGAAATTACTTAATTTGATTGGTCACTTTATCCATGTTTATCACTGAAGGCCATGGAAATTAACAAAGGTGCTTTTAAATGTTATCAGTTAACTGAAATTTGTTAGTGGTTTTAGAGCTCTTTTTCAGTGCACATTCATGATGATGAAACAGGCAGTTTAACCATATTTTCTGAAGTATTTCAGCAGTACCAATAGGTAAGAATTGTTTTTCTATTATTATTCATTTAATGTTGTTTAAATTGGCGCATTAGACTTAGTATCAACAATTGGATTGGTTTGGATTAGATTGGATCTCTAGGCATAGGAGCCTAGCTAGGGGATAACAAGCATGCTATGACTAGGCCTATTATTAAGAAAAGACGGAAATGAGGATATTCTAAGGAGGGATAAGCTCAGTCTGCCCTATAATTTAAGTATTGGAGGGTGGTAAATTGGGCCGTGTTCTCACTTATTTATTATTGTAAAATCCATGATATGATTTATTAAATAATTTTTAGGGGTAGGCCTAGGCCTTTATAGGCTAGGCCTATGCTACTGTTATTATTATCATTATTACCA